CCACTTTAAATTCCCCAGAAAATATCAGGATATTTAAAAAGCTTCCTGGGAGAAAGCTAGTATGATTAAGATACATTTTCTGCCCTAGCCAGTTTGGCTCGGTGGATAGAGCGTCAGCTCGAGGACGGAAGGGTCCCAGGTTCTACTCCGGTCAACGGCACGTACCTTGGTTGCAGGCTTCTGGCCCTGGTTAGGGCATGTGGGAAGCAACCAATCAATGTGTCTTTCTCACATCGGTGTTTCCACTCTCTCTAAAAACCAATGGAAAAATATCCTCGGGTGAGGATTAAAAAAGAAAAAGATACATTTTCTGGTGAATAAGAACCTTAAGGATTGAATAAATAATATAATTAAAATTTTGGAGCAATTAAATTTTGATAAAACTAAGAAAGCAAATAAGATTATTTCCCTTCTGCTAATAGAATGGCATATAATTTTGAAATTCTGGAGGAAGCACAGGCGTTTTTCTCATTTTTATTTATAGATTTTTTTAAACAGTCTGGGCTTTTACACTGTCAGTTAAAAAAAAAACACCCGAAACCAGCAATTTTCACCTAGACTTTATTCACAGATATTTGAAAAGGTGTGTTTGAAGAAAGCACGCAGTCCATAACAAGATTGTCCACTTATTTTTATCCAGGCTGGCGTAATGTCTATAAAAATCATCAAACAGAGCTTAAAAAACAAGTACTAGATATGAAACATTGATGGGTTCTTTATTAAAGAAGTAAGGGAGCTGCCCTGGTTGGGTAGCTCAGTTGGTTGGAGCATCGTCCTGTGCACCGAAAGGTTGCAGGTTCGATTCCCCATCAGGGCACATACCTAGGTTGTAGATTCAGTCCTTGGTGGGGTGTGTACGGAAGGCAACCGATCATATCTCTCTCTCTCTCTCTCTCTCTCTCTCTCTCTCCCCCACCATAAACATACTCTCAAGTGAGCATAAAAAGGTAAGGGAGCTGTGGCTTGCTGAATTCACCCACCCCCGAATTGAGCAGAAGGAAGTCAGACCCCCCATGGGCTCACCCTTGCTCACCAGTTGGAATGCCTGGTTGCAGTCAGGTTGATTTGAAAACTCACCGTTGTGTTTATCAGTGTTCTTTTGTCTTTCTCTAAAGCGGATATTGAAGTAGGATCTTTCCACTCTCTCTGTAAGAGGCAGTTTTTAAAACCTTTTCACACTCAAATCATAATGTCTTTCCAGGATTGATAGAGTTACTTAAGGGCTCCGTTTCAGGCATGGCATTTTTGCTTCTGGTTTTCAGACTGTTTACTCCATGGCTCCATTCCCTTTCCCACAACTGGCAGAGTTGAGGGAAAAGTACACCTACAACATTACACCGTTCCCAGCTGCAGTGAAACCCACCTCCGTGTCTGGGTAAGGTCTTTTTTTTCCCTTCTTGTTTTCGTGATAGAAGACTAGATACTTTAACTGGTTATTGTAACTTAATGATTGTTAAGCCCTAGAAATATATTCAAAGTAGTTTGGTTCTTAAAATATGGATTTTTTTAAGGTTTTGATGTAAATTCAAGAGAGTGATTTTTAAAACTGTTCTTTCCAAGGAAGACTAGAATATAAACTGAAGGGACCTGTAGCAATCCCACAACTTATTTAAAAATATCAAATATTTTAAAAAAATCTCAATAATTAAAATAGTGTAGAACTGAAGCATGAAAAAGCAGATGAGCTTATTTAAAATGCTATAAAGACCAGACATTGACAAATACACAGGAATACAGTATATGAAAACTTGGCATATCAAACAGTAGTGAAAAGAGGTATCATTTAGTAAATGGTGCTGGGCCAATGAGACCTACTCTGGAAGGAAATAAAGTTGAAGTTTTTCTTTACATCACACAGTAGGATACATTTCATATAGATGAGAGACTTAAATGGGAAAAAATGAAGTAATAACATTAGCAGAAGAAAATGTGGAAAAATGTGTTTAGTTCTTTGGAATTGGGAAGGCCTTGATAACAGCCTCAAAATAAAAAATAAAAAACAATAAAGGAAAAAAAAAACACTAAGTATTTACAAATAATATTCTGTATGACTAAAACCAAAATAGAACCCTCATAAGCAGACACAAAAATATTCATGGAAAAGTATATGTTATTGATATCTCTCATAAAGTTCCTAGAAATTAATGTGGAATGACCACCCAACTGAAAAATGATGGAAGGATGGGACTAGGTAGTGTACATAGAAGGCAGCATCAAGAGAAATGTAGCAAATAACTAGGCTGAGAGTCTGTTACTTTGCCTATCAGATTAACAAGAATTCAAAAGGCTGATGTGCACGCTCTTGATAAGGCCATGGGGACACAGGCACATTGCAGTGAGAGGTTGCTTACTGCAGGATTCGTGGCAGGCCGTTGGGAAGTACTGTCCAAAATTTGTAATGGATTTTGACCCAGCAATTCTACCTCTATGAATTATCCCACAAATATATTTATACACATGCAAAACACAGGATGTATAAAGGTTACTTATTGCAGCATTGTTCATAATGGCATAATATTGAAACCACTCAAGTGTGCTTCATTAGCGCAGGGTTCCCTAACGTGCACCACGTGCATACAAGACAGTGCAGCTGTAAAAAACGATGAGGAAGCTCTTTGTAAGAATATGGAGAGGTTTCTTAAGTGAAAAAAAGCAAGGTGCAGAAGAGTGTAGATAGTATGCTAATATTTATGTAAAAAGAGGAGAAAAATAAGACTATCCTATATAATAAAAGCCCAGCAACGGAAATGGTGGAACGACCAGAATGACCAGAAACCAGAAGGACAAGGCCCCTTGCCCTGGCTGGCCCCACACCCCAGGTAGTGGTTAGGGGTAATCAGGCAGGCAGGTGAATGGTTAGGGGCGATGAGACAGGCAGTCAGAGGTGCTTAGGGGCAATGAGACAGGCAGGCGAGTGGTTAAGGCAGTGGTTAAGATTAGGCAGGCAGGTGTGCAATTAGGGGTGATCAGGCAGGCAGGGAGAGTGGTTAGGGGCAATCAGGCAAGCAGGCAAGCAGTTAGGACCCAGCGGTCCCAGATTGCCAGTGGGATGTCCGAATTCCAGTTTAGGCATGATCCGCAGGGATCCCTGTGGGATCGGGCCTAAACTGGCAGGCAGACATCCCTGAAAGGTCCTGGATTGCAAGAGGGTGCAGGCCGGGCTAAGGGACACCTCTCCCCTCCCCCACCCCGTGCATGAATTTTGTGCATCGAGCCTCTGGTATAGTCATGTCTGCTTATCCATGCATAAAGAAACTAAAGGCTAAATAAGAAGCTAGTCACTGCATCACCTGTAGGAATTAGGTGGAACAGCGGGGCAGAAGTTGGATTGGGATGAGAGACTTTATATGTATGTGTGTATATATATATAATATAATATATGTCATTTAAACCATGTGACTGAATTATTTTTTTAAAAAAATGACACTATTTTCTTTGAATATTTTTTTTCTGTTATGTTTTCCAAGACGACATGGTAAGATCAGAGACAGTGATGAAGAGAATGACCCAGATGATGAAGATGCTATTGCTAATGCCGTGGGGTGTCTTGGACCTTTCAGTGGGCTCCTGGCACCTGAACTACAGAAGTACCAAAAACAAATTAAAGGTAAAAAAGGTGGCTCTCTATTTAGATTATCACAATGTGTTGGTTCACTATAGCAGGGGTACTGCTATTGTAACCTATAAATGCCTATTTATTTTCTGAACTGGTTACCCTTATTGAAGGTCTTTATTAAAAGTATCTTCTCTGGACCAGCTGTTGTGGCTCAGTGGTTGAGTGTTGACCTATGAACCAGGAGGTCTAGGTTCAATTCCCGGTCAGGGCACATGCCCAGTTTTGCTGGTTCAATCCCCAGTGTGGGGTGTGCAGGAAGAAGCCTATCAATGTTCTCTCTCTCTCCCTCCCTGAAGGGACCTCCCTGAAATTAAAAAATAATTAAAAATATATATATATATTTGAAAAAGTATCTTCTGTGTTACTTTCTTATTTAGTAGGATTTCTCTGTGTTATGGGTTGCATGCATAATATATATTTCTTCTTTTTTTATGGTGACTTTGCGCCATACTCGTCCGATTCAACTGTTTGCTCAGTTCCTTAGCACAGAGCCTGTGATGTAATAGATGCTTGCTACCGTGTGTTTGAGTTTAATTGAATTCATTCTAGACTGGCTTCTCTTTTATAGAGAACTACTGTCTGAATCTAAAACATTATGGTGTCCTCTCCTTGAATTTGAGAGATAAGAAACTCATTATATCAGAAGGCATTCTTTTGGGTTCCTCCACTTAGCCCATGGTTTCTAGTTGCAGAGAGAGAATCTCTGCCTACAAGTTCTATTAATAGTTCATTTCTTTGGAACAAAACAGAATGAGTCCACTCCCTCTTTGACTGGACGGCTCTTCGGTTTTTTGAGGACAGCCATCATGTCCCCAACAGTTTTCTCCATGGCTCAAGTTCAGAATTTCTTTAAGCATTTCTCATAAGATATGATTTTCAGAACTTTTAATAGTATTTATCTATTTTTTTCCCTCCTCTTCATCATCTCATCATTGCTGTCTTTTCTTCGCCATCTTCATCTTCTTTGTCTTTTTCATAGTTCTAGTTTTGAGTATTTTCCCTAAACCTTGGCTTGTTTTGAGTTTTGACCTGTTTCATGGTTTGGGTTCATCCTTTTTGTGTGTGTGTGTAATGTCTTTGGTATGCATTTTCCTCTCATCTTTTTAAAAGGCTTTTAGTAATGTGAACCCAACAAGATCCCCATTGATTTCGTAATGCCTTCCACCCTCCCTCTTGTTGCCTGGATATCAGCGTTTGGCTTCTAGCCATGGGATCAATGTGGATTTTAATTCTAACATTTTTGAATCTGCATTTCTGAAGTCTGGGTCTGTGTCCCTTCCCCCTGCCCTCCCGTACTCCCCTTCCCCCCATTTTTCTTTCTGTGCAGGTCTGTGCCCAGGATGACCTGATCATGTTCTCCTGTTCTATTATTCCTGTTTGTTGGGCTTACTTAAGTTCAGGTGTGCAGGTCCCCTTTTAATTTCCTTTTCCTAGCACAAGTGTCTTCAGGGAAAAAAGGAAGTAAACTTGGCAGACGTGTAGCCCTCTAACACTTTCAGTGGCTGTTGGGATAGTCGGGATCCCTACTGAGGGTTCTCTTTCAGCTGGTCCCCCGGCCAGCTTTGCATATGGTGTTGAGGAGCCCGGTCTGCCCGCCTCGGCCGTGCAGTCTGGAAGCGTGCTTTCGCACAGTGCTTGTTTCTCTCTCTTGGATGTAATCTCAGTTTTATTTAAGGGACAACCCTGCTGGGTGTAGGTGTCCCGGGAACTATAACACACATAGTGTATGGTCAGGAAATGGTTGTTAAACAAATAAAAACATGCATTTCTAGTGGTAGAGTGATTCGAAGTCTTGATAATTTCATAGAATCTATTTTTAATTTAAAAACTCACTTAAAAAAAATCCTTACCCACGGATATGTCTTATTGATTTGAGAGAGAGGGGAAAAGGGAGAGAGAGAAACATTGATGTGAGAGAGAAGCATCGATTAGCGGCCTCTCACAAGCGCCCCAAACAGGGATCAGACTCACAGTCTGGCTATGTGTCCTGTTCAGGAGTCGATCCCACAACCTTTCAGTATATGGGATGATGTTCCAACCAACTGAGCCACACCAGCCAGGGCTAAAATCTCACTTTTAGTGGCTGATTTAACACTACAAACTATCAATCCCTTATAAATTCTCACTCATTTATGTGGACTTCTGTACAATGACTTGACATTTGGAATTATATTTTTCTAAGGGCATTTTCGAAAATAACAGTGATTTTTTATCTCGAAAACTTGATCTTATGTCTGTATAATAAACAAAGTGGTAATAAAATAAAACTGTGAATCCACACAGCTCATTTCAGACCCACAATTAGGCTAATAAGAAAATGCAGAAGTATTTTCAGGACTGATTAAAACAAGCTCTAGACAAATCCTAGTGTACATTTTTTTTGTGGTTTAGAATTTTCTGGAGGTTGTGATACCACTCTGGGTTACAGTGGAATCAATTGCCCGTTCGGCCCGTTCTCCTCCACTGACACCTCTCCTTGTCTCTGCCGCCGCGAGTACAGAGCCCCACGAAGAGCAGAGCCTGAGATCTAATAACATTGCGGAGCTGAGTCCAGGAGCCATCAATTCCTGCCGAAGTGAATACCACGCCGCTTTCAACAGCATGATGATGGAGCGCATGACCACGGACATCAACGCGCTAAAGCGGCAGTATTCTCGGATTAAAAGGAAGCAGCAGCAGCAGGTTCACCAGGTGTACATCAGAGCAGGTAATGGGATTCTTCGAATCAATTTCAACTCTGTGTCAGCCTGTGAGAGGAAGAGCACATATTCCTGCACTCTCACTGTATGTAGCTCAGCATCCAGAAACTCAGCTGGCACGAGTGATAGCACGCTTAGCATCTCATTTTTTAAAATTTTATTTTACCAGGCTTTACAGAAGACAAAGACCATGGATTCTCCTTAGGTCCCAAGGACCGGGCAGTTGATGGTACTGAACACATCTTCGCTGTGTGTGCTTCTGGAGAGGGGTTTACAAACGATCACAATGTTGCAAAGCCCAGCAGTCCTTGGACTTGAGACATTTTGGAGCTGTTGCCTCTGAAATTCCAGGCATTGGAACACAGAACTTAGCGATCTGTGCACAAATAAATCTAGCTATCCATTGGTCACTTAGGAGGTGACATAAAGGGCATGTAATCTGAGAAAAAGGAAAAGGCTGTCCCTACGCCTTGCCCATGGGTGACTGTGTCCTCACTCTGCAGAGAACACAGGTGTAATGCAGTTGGAAATGCTCTTTCCCAAGGATTGTCAGGCTTCTGCTCTTTTTCTGTTTAATTCCCCAAATCCCAGGGAGCAATAATCTGCTTGGTTGTTTAACATATGCTGATTTTGGAATTGGTTTGCGTTGTTCTCGGTGAAATTAGAATGAAAATGATTCCTGTCCATGATTTGACATGTTTTTAAGAGGCGTGTGAGCATGTGACTGATCTTGCCCAAAAACTGAATTTACCTTCTACTTCTCAGGAAGGGTAGGCGATTTCTTGAAGATTCGTACTTTATCCCGAATCATAAATCAATCACAGAAGAAATGAACAGCTGCGGCTCTGCAGTCTTCAAAGCATTGGCACATATGCGTCCTCATGTTGTCTTTAAGGATAGTCTACGACTGTGGTTCTCAACCTGGCTGCACATCAGAATCACCTGGGAATCTTTTTAAAATCCTGATTTCTGGGCCTCATCATAACAAAGAAACAGAATTTCCGGAGGATGAGGCCCAGAAATCAGGATTTTAAAAAGATTCCCAGGCCGGGACTGCTTTGGCTCAGTGGATAGAGCGTCGGCCTGCGGACTGGGGGGTCCCAGGTTCGATTCCGGTCAAGGGCATGTACCTGGGTTGCGGGCACGTCCCCAGTAGGAGATGTGCAGGAGTGTTCTCACCTTCCCTTCATT